CATACAAAGAAATCAAACCATAAATGTCCAGAAATGAAGTTACATTATTATTACAAATAACTTCATTTCTGGACATTTATGGTTTGATTTCTTTGTATGTATGGATCACTTGGGTTGTTACCGACATCTGGTGAAAATTTCATGTCATTAGTACCTCTAGTAATATATTTACTGAGAAAAATGGTGACGTGTTCAATACTTATTTTACCCACTGTATGTAATTTTATTTATTGTTGTTATCGTCCTGCAGGCTCTGAGATAAATTTGAAGTTGAGTTTAACGTCTGTAAAACTGCAAAATCAGGGAAAATCTATCAATTACTGACAATCTGTTCACATGAGCAGCTGTCAGTCAGCACCTGTCATCCTCCAGATGCATGACGGAGCGTCTGAACCAATCATTGATCAGCTGACTGATTTAAATACATCTTAACATTCATGAGGTACTTTACATTGACTGTTTATGGTTGAATGTGGGCGTGTAGAGGGTAGAACCTGAGGCGAGACCTTGTGCGCAAACTCTGAGGTGCGGCTGCGATTTATAAATGAAAGGTGCAGAAACATGCGTACGCATGGTTTTATAAACCTGAATTGTTTTGGAGTATGCCATTTTTACCTTTTGGCCATATGTTCATTTTTAGTATGGTTTCCACGCAATTTTTTATAAATCTGACCCCAGATGAGCAGAAATTTCCCTGACTTGCCATTTTTGAATTGTATTTGGCAATGTTGAACTGAAGAAAAGCCCTGTGACATAAGCCAAAAACGCTTGCTAGGTTGTCTTCAGGCCTGCCTGGTTAAATAAAGGTAAATAAATCCATGTTCTGTCAGATTTTCTTTTTTACATCATAGCACTGTTGCCATACGGTGTGAAGCTAAGCTAATCGCTGAGCTGCTGTGAGTGAAACAAAGTGGGAGGATTTTCCACTGAACAAACAGCCTCTGCGTTAAAACTGATATAAACTATAAATTTCAAGTGGCAAAGTGCAGTGGAGAAAAAAAACTAACTAACTTGTGTTACTTTTTAACAAATGTCTCAAATGCAAAGCCATTTGATGTGACTCACCTTCTCTGCGTCCTGTTCGAACAGGCGGAGCTGAAAACACTGGTCCAGTTTCAGCTTCCTGACGTGCCACATCTGGTGGAGATGCTGCCTGGTGGAGTGGAGCTTATCCAGAAGACTGGCCACCTGTGACAAGGAAAGAAACACTCAACAACATATCTAGGTTTTTCCTGAGGAGTTGAATGCTCTTCTTGTTGCATCTGGTGAAACCATCCAGATTGGCTCAGCACATCTGATTTTACCCATAAATCATTTTCAAGTGTTCTGTAGGCAGAGTTCCTACAGTTTAAGGAAAGTTAAATTTAAGACTTTTTAATGCCAAGTGAAATTAAATTTAAGACCAATTTCATAATAAACACAAATGACAAAAGAACAAAAACTGGCAGAAACTCATGAATCAAAGTATTTTTGGTTGAATTATTTGAATATTGCTAATAGACCAGTTGTTTTTATCCATATCCAACTATAGCAGAAACGTTCTTAGCAGTCAGTTTTATTTCTGGAAATCCTCTAACGACCTAATATTAGGAGTTTTAGGACCCACAGTGGGTTCTCAACCCCAGCTTGCTGTAGATGAAACCTTAAAGTGCCTGTGAGGTAAAATGTTTGCAAGAAATATGAATGCATCTTTGGAAAGAAAACATTAACATATTAGAAAACAAATTTCACATTGCTCAGGTGGACAGTTGAGATATTTGCATGTGAAATAAAAGGAAGTTAAGTCAAAGGTGAATGTCTACATGTGAATATTTAAAAAAATAAATGTTACTGATTATTTTAATATTTGAGATTAATTACAATCAGCCTATTTACAATATGTTAACATTTTAAGACCTCTGAAAGATTGATTTAAGACATTTTAAAGGGATCCCCGATTAGTTGTAACATTAGACTTTATATGATAAACATATATTTTAAC